GTCAGGCATCGTGCCTCTTTATCTTTGCCCCCCTACGCGGATGTTATCCGCAAAATAGAAATAAAAAAAAATGAAAGCCGTTTACAACTCTCTGTAACCCCGAATTAGAGAGGAACTCTTGAGGAGGTGGAGAGAACCGTAGTGAAGGGAAGGTATGCCCCTCACTACCGTTCACTACCGTTCACACCTCCTCATCCTGCCTGCTACTCGTCCCTCCGAGCGGCGTCGCCGTCGCCTCACGAGGGTCACGTTACCTCACAAGGGTCACGTGACCTCACGGGGGTCACGTGACGTCACTGGGGACACGTGACCTAACGGGGGTCACATGACCTTACGGGGGTCATGTGACGATGACGGCATCACGATGACGTCATCGTCATCGTCACTGATGACGTCATCGGCATCATCATCGTCACTGATGACGTCATCGGCATCGGCATCGTCACTGATGACGTCATCAGTGACGTCACGCGTCCCATAATGCACCGCGCGGTTACGCCGACGGCGACGCCACTCAAGCCGGACACGGGCGTTTAACAGCTGCGCTCTAATAAAGAAAAAACAATTCTTACGGACATGTACCTTAGACTTTATCGCCACTATCCTTATATACGACAGACGTGGTGATGAGGCACAGCAAGCGCAGACAGGCACACAAAGAGACAAAACGGCGTCTGCCGAGTCATTAAAAACAGACAAAGCAAGACATATTTGAAGTCGCCTTCTGTTTCTCACCGGAGGCTTCGGTGAATTTCTGTGGCAGTAACGTGGAGAACCTCGGCCCTTCGCGAACGAAGAAGACTAATAGGCAGGTGCTGATTCACGCTCCCTGTTCGCAGCAGACCGAGCCCAGGAGACGGATCGGCGTTGCCCATCGACCCAAGAAATGCAGTGGCAATTTATTGGCTCCAGAGACTCCGAGAGACACGGGGCCTCCCTCGTCGGCATCGCGGCAGGGTCTGAGCCCCAGGTCCGGTTTCCTGTCGACTTGCAGCTCGCGTTCGGGCGATTCGTTAGCCCCCGGGCACGTCTCCCCTCTCCTCTCGAAGAGCCCGAAATCTCCCGCTAACAAATGCCCCGGGGGAGTCCCCCGCCAAAGGCGCCAGCCGCCGTGTCGCGCGCCTCCCCCACCTCCTGCGAAACACCGGGGCTCTATCCGCTTATAGGGGTGCGAGCGCCTGCTGCTTACAGCTGAGATCGCTCCCTCGAGGGCGCTTCCAAGCGCCACGACATATTGCTCAGTCCACGTCGCATCGACATATATATATATATGTATATTTTTTTTTTCTAGGTCCCGTTTTTGCAGTGTCGTCCTTTCGCTCTGCACCGCCACAATTTTTGCTTGTCTCCTGCGGTGCCGCGCTTTTAGAAACAAGAGCCCGGGCCGTATGTGTCCGGAGGACGCCCACCTTATTCTTCTGTCTTCTTCGCTCCGAACGTTTACTCCACTTTTTCCTTTCCCCCGCGGGAACAAGTTTGCCGCTTTATAAATAAAGATGGACGCTCGCGGCGCCGCGCCGCGAGCGCTAACGCGGCTCAGTTGACAGTGTCACTTTTGTTGCGCTGTGTTTTCCCGCCCGCAGAGTGGCGTGTGATGGACGTCGGGCTGAGAAGAGGCAACGTCGTCGTCGCCGTGCTTAGTCGTGGCACCGTCGTCGGTTGCCGGGCGGTCTCGCGTAGTCGAGACACGTTCACCCACGTCGCTCTTGTACCGGTGCCGCTATACCGACGGGGGACGCGTCTGGAGCACCCTCTGCGTCGGACAGGCGGCCACCGGAGAGACGTCCGCCCGACGACAAATCGTTCTGCGGAGTGTGTGCTTTTCGTTTCTATTCTGCGGGGACACCGCGACGCAGGGATGGACGGGCGTCCGGGAAAAGGAGGACTTTCTTTCCCCGCAAGCGCCGATGAGAAGTGGCGCCCGACGCGGAGAAGAAAGGGCGCACGTAGCTCCTAATCCATTTTTCGAGACACGTCGGAGATGGGATTTCACGTGGCCTTCCGGGCAATCAGCTTGGACGGTGGGTAAAGAAAGACCTGGGCTGTGGCTAGCACCGATGTGTGAATGAGGCGGGTGTATAAGGAAAGCATATGTAGGGTCTGGCTCGCTTCGTTCCTTCGAGGGAGTACATATATATGGTTCCTGGGAGTTTCGGCAAATGCAGCTGTGGTGTCCCTGTGGTATTCGAGGATGCTTGTAACTCCAGGACAGCGAGCTCAATTCGCCAGGCTATACCTTAACTCTAGAAGTACGCGATTCACGTCGTCCGAGAATCCTCAGAGAGAGGAGAGATAGTGTGGAGGAGAGTGAAGAAGAGAAAAGAAGCCGGTGTCGTTGCGTTCCATCCGTGAGTACAGATGTTAGTCGCAGGGCGAACGCAAGAATAGTGCGTGGTGAAAGCGCGCAGTTTGTGACCTCAGTGCGCACTCCACTACCGACAAGCGCTGTGCCATCTACGAAGTGCGCACCAAGAGGCGAGAAGCAGAAGCGGCGGTGTCACGGGCCGAACACGACGGAAACCGCGTTCAAAGTTCTCTGCAACTGAGAGAAAGAAGGCCTGCCTCCGTTGCTGATCTTCAACGACGTCTTATGTTGTTCTGCTCTACTGACGTTTGCTCTACTGACGTCTAACCCCTGATTAGCTCAGTTGGTAGAGCGCTCCACTTGTAATGGAGAGGTCCCGGGTTCGATACCCGGACCAGGCGGATTTTTTCGGTCGCACACCAGTCACCTAGCTGTGTTTGGAGATTTGTGTTTGTCCTTTGTCCCTCTTGCTCCACTTCTCCAGGGATTATTTTCATCATTCTTGTTCAGCTGGCTTGCACCTTTGCATTCAATTGCATTATAATTATGTTGTTTTGTCATCGTTCATCTCCAGTTCTGTAATACACAACTGGCTAGCTATATCAGTTATTGTGAGACCCCAAGCCCGCATCCGGGGCCTTGTTCTAGCCACTAATAATTTCAGGATATATACGAGTATGTGCACAGGTGCGCAAGACCCAACGTCTGGTACAACGAGGAGGCAGCTTCCACTGCAGTCTAAGCTTAGGGAGGAACGGAGTATAGACGGCATACTTGAAAGGAAACACGGACAGTGGAAAAAGGAAACAACGTACTTCGCTTACTCGCACAGTTTGTAGTTCGGCCTGAACGTGCATGTCCATGTGCTTTGTCACTTTCTGCCATATTATTCCGGAACCTTTTAAAGGTCTGTCCAAACAGGAATCGTGAGGCAACACGACTCCAGCAAAAATCGTAAAAATTGAAGCGTCCAGCAGTCCGATGTCTGTTTGAGCACCCCCGAGCCAAAATCACGATTTTCTTCCTCGCTTTTTCCGCTTTTCGGTGACCTCGGTGCTCGTCAGACTTGACGTCACACGCCACCTGCCAATGCTGTCTCCATCTGTTCTGCCGGGCCCTCGTAACCTTGGACGTGTTCCACATTTTACTCGATCTTATTCCAGGGTAAGGGTTTTGTACCTTTGCGTTCGAAAACCTAGCCGAGGCCAGCGTCGCTCTATCTGTGTTATCACCTGACACGACACGCCGGAGTAGCACGGACCTATTTGGGATAAGATTTGGAACACAGCCCTTCTCCTTCCGGTTTTCGGGACCTGAAGAGAAGCGGAGGTTTTGGGCGATTGACCGACAGGCAACAGAGCTTCTGATTGGCTGTCCGGACCCACGTGATGCGCATGCATGCTCAATGCCCCCGTGGAGGACACGGGCGAAATTTGACGGAGGAAACAACCCCCCCCCCTCCCCCCCTCCCCCCCCTCCCCCCCGGAAACAAATACAAAGAACGGATGGAAGCGAACCGCCGTGCGAGTTTTGTCGGAGTCGTGTGGCCTTACGATTCCTGTTCGGAGAGGCCTTACGGGCTTGACCACGAGACTCGAGATATCCACCTATCCACCCCCTTTCCCTGTAATGTTATTGTCACTGCAAACACTTTACTAGGGGGAATACGTTTCACTCCACTCATCTGCGTTAGGTTCGCGTCCACAACGCCATATGCATTCCCTTCCCAGCGATGCATCTCTTGTATGAGAAAACGTGCACGTATTGCGCCGTCCGCGCTCCGATGGAGAAGATTACCGCCCGGCGCCACCGTCCGGGTGCCTCGAGAGAAGCCCCTACAGCAGATGGCGTTACCCCTCGCGCCCCACAATTATAAACAAAATAACGAAGAAAAAAAAAAGGTTCCGAGGTTGCGGTTTGTTTAGCCGTTTTAACTATGCGAAACCTGTCCGCGTCACAAAACCAATGAATTTTCGCGAGTTGAGATGTATTCCCTTAGTTCATTCCTGTCCCTCTCACGCCTTTTTGATACCCTAGTTACACGAGCATGCTTCACGGCAGTTAAGTCACTTTTAACTGCAGCTACGTTTTACCAAAGTTACCATACTATATTCTCGGAGAACTATTTCAGAACAAGTAAAGAGCGTGCGAGCAACATTCAAATACATCCGCGCTTTTCAGTATCTTGACCTAAGTGGAAGGCAGGCTTTCAGCTCGACCGGGCAATGGACTATGCCGTGCACTTCATTCGTGCCGCTTCACAGGCGCTGGAGCGAGCTTCCAAAGCGTTCATTTGACATCATTGAAGTGCTTGTAACCAGTTGGGAACAAAGTCTTCAGTTCCAACAGTGAACGCCTGCCTTCCGCTGACGTCACTTTTTCATTGTTGCCAGTAAAGGCTGACTTTTAAAAACACGGTGAGGACCAAAATTGTAAATTCAATACCTTCGCGAGAAGAAATTCTTTTGGCCCAATATGTGGGTTACTATTTCAACGATGTTTGTTGGTCCGTTGAGCAAATTTTCGGGCAGATCGGGTACTATAAAAAAAACTCCGGAATAACTGTAGTCAGGTGTGACAATTACATTAGGGTATTAGACGTGACAAAAAGAGACTCCCTAAACCCTAGTCAAGCCGTAATAGTTACTCCGAGAGCGGGACGACGTAAGGAGACCTTATTTGAGTGGGAGCTCACCTCCATGTGAGGTGCGTCTTGTCCCACTTGGAGCCCTGGAGCGCGTAGCGGCGGACGCGCTCGGCGTGTCCGATGACGTCGGGAACGCCGCAGCGTCGCGCCTTCATCATACGCGCCGTGGCCTGGTCCAGGTGTCCGGTGGCCGGCAGACCGGCGAACTTCTGCATGCGCCGAAGCGCCGCACGGAAGCCTTCCTCGGTGCGCAGGTTGTCCGACGGCAGCACCGAGCCACTGCTCGTGTCGCCCATGTAGCCGAACCGCTCCAGGAAAGTCTGCGAAAAGAAAGGATACGACCCAAGTTTAGTGTCAGAGATCTCCTGCACGGGACGCTCGTTGGCGCCGGTCAAGCACACATCGCCAAACTCTGCGCCTTCCAGCGTAGAGGCTTGCGACGAACGTATTAGGGTGCCTCAATGTCCTTCTATTAATTCCGTGGTTACACTGCTAATATATAATACATAAGACAGCCTGCAAACGCGAGTCACCGCGATTTCCGTGATTCGAATGCCGCGTGTAGTTTCTCCTTGAACTCGTTGCCGTGCGGCATTCGAAGCACTGATCTCTCAATGACTCGCGTTCGAAACTGTTTGCAGACTTGTCTTTTTGTGTGATGTATAGGCATCGCATAGGGAGTATTCACTGGCGGCCATAGCTGCGTGCTCGACTGCTGAGCACGTGTTGACGGCGAGCTTCCACGGTTCCGTTACAACGTGCCTTCCGTACCACCCAGATTGGCGGTCTTAGGGCCGGTTCTCACATGCAGCGAAGCGCTCATGTAGCGCTACTCACGTGTCGTCGGCTACTTATCGTCTGCCATGAGCAACTGTTTTGACGGTGCGATACAAAGCAGGTGAACGCTACCGTGAGCACGCGCTTAGCGCGAGATCAGCGCTATGCTTGTAGCGCTCCGCTACATGTGTGAACAGGCCTTTAGTATCCAACTAATGTGAGCTCGTCCTGAGCATGCGCTCTAAACGGCGCCCTATGGCTTCCAGTGAATACCCACTATAGTGTGTATTCACTGGACGCCATAGGGCGCCGGCATTTCATGTTCTAACGACGACGACGACGATAACAAGATGCTACGCCGGGTGACTGCGGCGCTATGTTTAAGCCCTGGACGCGAATGCCTTGGAAGTGGCTGCCGTCAACCAACACTGGGCCACTTCCTGGAGCCCACTGAAGCGAACCATGACACCAACAAACCGCCAGGGCTTTTCCATTTCAAACGTTCATTGAACAGCCCGCGGGAGGTCACTTCAGTTCACTGGCCGACTCGCTTGAACCTTTCCCGAAACATTCGAGCAACGGTGCTTGGGATGTTGAGAAGACCGCATCGTCCTCCCCTTGTACATATGATCTCATGATCACCATCACTTTTATCTTGTATATTACATGATAATATCATTACATGATATTACATCATTACATGATGTATATTATATCATTACATGTGTGGTGGCCGAGTCGTTGCTGACTAGTCACATTTCTGCAATATTTGTGGCTTTTGTTGTTTCCATTCTGCCGTTTTTATTTTCCAATAAAAATTCAGTTGATAGTCAGCGCTCGTCCTGTTTGCTTCTCCGTCTTCGTATTTATTGAGCGCTTTCACTACTTTTCAACATGATCGCCATCACTATACGAGGCATCGCGGGCCTAAATAGTACGGGCCTTTTACGGTGCGACGGCTCTTCAGAACCAATAAAGATTATTATTATTATTATTAATATTATTATTATAACGCGTTCGACGAGTGCAGTGGGGACGAAGGCTGCTATGCGGAGTGCAAGTTCATCTGCTTCTTTTGCAGGGGTTGTGGTGACGTCTGAACGCCGAGCTCTGATTGGTTCTGATTAAAGGATAGTGGGTAGACCTCAAAGCAAGCTGCCTTGAGGTCTACCAACTATCCCTCAGTCAGAGCCAATCGGAGCCCGGCGTTCTGACGTCACTTCAACCCCTGCAAAAAAAGCAGACGAACCTTCGCTCCGCCTAGCTTTAGGTCTACCCACTAATCATTCCAATCAGAGCTCGGCGTTCTAACGTCCCCGCGCGTTCCCTTGTCCTCCTCTCCCTCAGTTTCTCGGCGCATAGCGTTCGAAAAGCGCTCAAGGAAGCGTTTAAAAAATGCCAGCTGCCGCAAAATTGGCCAGCTGCCATGTTTATTTCGCCTCTCGGTTCCGATGCGCCGTAACACCTTGAAAGACAAAAAAATAAAAAAAAATATAAAAGAATGGAGGGAGAGGTTATTAAGACCACTCTTCCGCGTCGCGTGTCGACACGCCTCTCCCTCTAGCTGCGTCGCCCGCAGCACCGGGAATACTTGCTTCCTAGTTCGACATGGCTGTAACATTTAGCGGCCGTATACGTCTTTAATGAAAGCATTTCAAGCTTCTGTCCTATCTCGTTGTCCAAGGAAGGGCTGTAAATGTTTCTAATAGCGTCTACACAGCGTACGCAAAGCTCATGGCTCAGTATGGAGGGAGGAGCAGATAAATTGGGGGATGCGATTGAAGGGATGGGCGTGAGGAGAAAATGGGGAGACATTATTAGTGTCCGTTGAACGAGCTTGACGAACGACGAAGGTCGTGCCAGACTTCAATCGAGTCGACGGCCGGCGCCGGGGCTTCAACAAAGCGTAACGTTCCTCGTGCTTGTCCCGTGCCTGGGTCTCGGGTCAAATTATTTGACGGAAGCAATCCAATAAGAGCTTCGTTAGTGGCTAACTTGTTCAGTAAAGCAACAGCAACGGTATGAACATTTCCAACGAGCAACGCATTGTATTGTTTTTTTCCGTGTCTCGCTGAGAAGACCAATCACCAAAATAGGTGATGACGAAGTCATAGAAACCCTGCGCTGGTGACACGAATACAGTGGCATCGAGAAAAGCCATCGCCTCTAGTGTGAGCCTATAGTAACGACGTGAAGCGATCAGAATAAAAGTAAACAGAAAGTAAAGATTACCTGCGTCCACACACAGCCATGGCTAGAGATGTCTAGCTACAGTTGTCTATAGTGACATGATAGTTTTTACGGCAGCCATGTTGCACGCAGGAAACAACGTATAGCTATATGACTACTGCTTGATCGCTAGTACAACTTCCCCGTTGCATTTCCGGCTAAATTTCTTCAAAGTAGGCAACTCATTTGTCGCCATACTTGACCGGTAAAGGATTCCTTTCTAGTCACCAACCCTGGGGCAACACCGACAAAGACGACGTCGGGGCTTGTCTGGCTGCAAGAAAATATCTAGTCTCAGTTGGAGAGACAAGACGGCGATACAAAAAGACGGCTCGAAAAGCGAGGCTTTACTTTTGACCGGACAAGACAGAGCCATCAGCGTCCGCGTCGAAGAAAGAAGGCAGAGACAAACGGTGTGGCAAGAAGCCAAGCCCCGCCCCGCTTCGATTCGGAGATTGATTTCCCGTTGTGAGCGATCGCGTCGCCCGCTGTTTCCAAGCCTAGGCGGCTGCTGCACAAACAGGCCATCCGTCACGCGAGTCTATGGCGGTGAGTCTTAACTCTGCGCCGCATTGTCTCGCCGCATGGAAGCGTAAAAGAAAGTCAGTCTACCGCAAGTCCATCAGTCACGCTTGCATAGTCTACAAGGTAACTGTGGCGCGACTTACCTCTTTATCTCGGTGTCGTCGTCGGATTTTCAAAACAAAACCGGCGCGCCCAATTAAGCTGGTGCAGCAAAAAAAGGTAAATTTAGCATGTTTTGAACCTATATTTGCTGAGGCGCAAGAGTAGCACCCACTGAAGATGCGAAACAACGTGTCGGATCATTATCTGTAAACTCAATGACGCGTCATCATAAAAAAAAAAAAAAAATCTTGTCCGATGCATAATGTATTAACAGTGCGGTGCACAATAAAGTTGATCCTTACGTTACTGGCAAATATTGCGTCCCCTTTTTTTTAAATGTGATTACGTGTTTTCATTTTATTTTCCCGTTGATTAATCACGTACTCCAGGCTCTTGTATTTGGCTGATCGGCATGCCCCGTTCTTTCTTTTTTTTTTCTTATTTTTGTTTGAGAGTTTGTAGTCAGATTCTAACGCGCAAAATACATTTCGGCTCACTTTTAAAACACTTCTGTCAAGCAGTTAACGTTCAAGCACTCTGTTGCAACTTCAACATAAAGGGGGGGGGGGGGGGGGGGAACGCAAAACGTCGGCGAGATATTGTTTTGGAAGCTTTAAGTAGACAAAACCACAGAAATAGATTTGTCTAGTTCTCTCGTTTTTCCACACTGTTTGGCTTGTAACCATTCGGTGGCAGAAACCGAACGCTTCTGCTCTACACCAACAGGCGGCCATGACGCCACCATGATGACTCGGGGCTGCGGCAGAAGCCGAGAGTGGGGCAGCAGGGTGATTAAATAAAAACATTAAATAAAATCGATAAAATCAAAAACAGAAACAAACGTTGTCTGTCCATGATTTGTTTTCTACCACTGTCAGAATTTTTTTTTCTGCCCCCGTCTCAGGTTGAACGTCATCATGGTAAACTTCCACCAGCTCTCCTGTTCACTGACCACATTTAGTGACGTCACGCTCCCACGGCGGCACTGTTGTCGGCATGGTGCATGCTCGTACGCTTGTACTTCACGCGAATCTGGTTTTGGCACCCGCCGCTTTGACCACACGTGGGGCCCTAAAACTCATCAAACACAAAGTTGGAGCCGCAAGTTCGCGGAGCGCGCCGACTGGAATTCGGCAACAAAAACGCGAAGTCATCGTCGTGATTGTCCAATCGGTGCGCTGCGTCAACTTTGGCCTCAACTTTGTGTTTGACGAGTTTAGAGGCCCTGGTTTGGGCAAACGCTGACTTGTTAGTAAACAGTGTATAGGGTCTAAACAAGAGAGGTCAAGTAGAGGCCCTAGAGAATTCCAAGCCTAAGAACTGCGACAAACTTCAGCGAACCCTTAGAAACATCGGCGGGAGGTTGGCATCCGTCCCGATAAAGGACGCTTCTCGTTTCGCGTTTCTTGTAGCCAGCAAGCGGAGCTGCGTGTTTACCCGAATCTTTCGCGCACCTGACGAGAGGCCATCTTCACCAAACGCCGCAACTTCTTCGAGCGCCTCGCATCGCGTCTCACCGCGCCAACGCTTCCGCGTCACGATACCGGCGAGCAGCGCCAGCGTCACAGTCATCGCTCATCCGTCCCATCCAAAACTCTCGCATTAAAGGCGTATTCAGGCAGCCACGCACGCGCGACAACGGGCGCCATTGACGGGGGCGGCGTCGTACGGCCGCGCGACTGAGGTC